AGGTGTGACATAAATTGGGGCAATGCATTGAGCAGTTAGGCCTAGAAGTGTGGTTTAGTTGCTCGAGGACGAGCAAAGATTTAAGTGTGGGGTGTTGATAATAGGTGAATTTGACTATAATCACACCTTAAATAATCACCTTCTTGCGTAGTTTTAATGCTAAAAGTGATGACAAAATGCTCTTATTAGTGCTTTTCATGCTTTGTAGGTGATATATGTATAAAGACGGCTAAGGAGCAGTTTTGGAGTCAAAAGTGATGAAAAAGAGGCCAACTGTGAAATTTCCTAAGTGACCCGGGCAAAAACAGGCCGAAGATTCAGAGAATTGGATCCACCGCGGTTTCACCGCGACCGCGGCAGAACCGCGGTGGGAAGCAGCTGCAGAAGTTGTGAGAATCCGCAAGGGTGTTTGGCCGCGGTTCTACCGCGACCGCGGCAGAACCGCGGCAGACGCAGAAACTTCTGGGACCAAAGTGTCAATTACGGGATTTTTAGACCTAAACCCTATTTAAAACATTAGACTTCGCCCAAGAGAGGCATGTATTGATTTTTTAGGTTTCTTAGCAAGGAAAACAATTGTGAGAAAGTACTCTAAACATCTTTCTTCTTTTCTTTTGATTTTATGATGAATTCAAGCTTAGTTTATGTTCCCATAGCCATGAGTAGCTAAATTCCTTGTCTAAGGCGTTGATGGAACCTATTGGGTGATGAACTTCTTGTTTATGTGAATACAAATTGCTAGTTTAATCTTTATTTATTCAACTTCGTGTTCGTTGTAGTTAATTGACAGGATCCTCAATTAGCAGTGCCTATTTAGTGTGCATAACTTGGAAAAGAGTGCATATTTAGGGTATTGTTGAACAATACCACCCCTAGATTATTAGAGGAATCTATAATTGCAGGTTTAAAGGCGGGATTAGGGATAACGAAGCCTTGGGTGTAATCTAAAGTGAATCGTGCTAAATAAAGTAAGCTAGTGTATCTCGGGAGAGTGCAATAGTAAATTACTGTGATTACTCGGGAGAGATTTACGGTAAGATTAGCGTTCATGATTGATAGAGATGTGTTGGTAAATTTGTATGAGCATAAACAGAAGGGATTCCATCAATAGGGGAAATCATTGCCTTAGCTTTTTCTCATAATTGTTTACAACCTTTATTTTTACTTAGTTACAACCATTTAGTTATTTGCAAGCTAGTTGTTAAAGAACACTCAACTGAGATTTGAATATTTGGGAAGCTGGTTCTGAAGACTTAGTGGGTCTGAAGATAGCAGTTGATAGGTTAACTCTCTGTGGATTCGACCCTGGGCGTAATACTCGGGTTATATTTGCAACGTCCGCAGAGTCCTTTTTATAAGGCATAGTTGGACGTGATCAGCATACAAACACATAGGTCAAATTGTCACGGAAGTTTGGATCATCTATATGATTCTATGTTGTTTTGAACTTTCAAGGTTTAAGACTAAAAGGAAGATTAATGGGTGACACTTACTGATTTGTAATATTTATCAACATTCTTACTCAAAATTTAGCTGGACTTATATAATTTATATATTAGCTATCTAATGGATCTAATTTGCTTTTTCTTATTAGGGGAGAATTGAAGATGGAAGAGACCAAAGATATGTTGCTTTAAGGAAATTATGTAAAAGAAACTGGAAAATACCAATTGAAATAATTGCACAGGTCTATTTTGGGGAAAATAGCACGGTCTAGCCAATTTTCGGACTGGTCATTCAAAAATAGCCAGCGTTTACCAAGTCAATGAAAAATAGCCACTATTTTGCTGCAACAGAGACCGGTCCAGCATAATATACTGAAGTTCGGTGCACCTGTGTATGAGCTTCCTGCATATTATACTGGACCGGTATACTTTGCTAGAACTCCAGTATATTATGCTGGAGTTTTAGTGTACTTGTGCTGGAACTATATCATATTATGCTGGAGTTCCAGCATACTTATCCTGGAACTCCAGTATAATATGCTGGAGTTCAAGTATACTTATGCTGGAACTCCAGCATAATATACTGGTGTATTTTCGCTCAGATTTATCTTTACATGAAAAGTGGCTAAAGTTCGATTACTTTTGAAACTGGGCTATTTTTGAACGATCACTTGTAAATCTAGCTATTTTTGAATTTCTTTCTCTTTATCTTTATGTGTAACACACATATTCATCATAATGAGGTGACTCCTTTTAATTCACGAGATGTTAGAAAGATTGTCTAAATAACAGTCTATCTATCTTCTGTCATCATGTAGAGATGATTTAGTTGGGCGGAGTCTGATAGTGAAGCAAGTTTCTAAATTATCTGCTCTTATTTTACACCATTTTTAGATTGAGGATGAAGTTTCTCAGGTTGCTGACTTTATAAAAACTATGAAATCTAAATCCTTTTATGAAGTCTCATGCTTCTGCTGTCATACTCTTCGGTTTTAAAATATCTCAAGTACAATATTTAGTTAAGATCTACCTTTTTTTTTTTATGAGGAATTTGTATATGTGAAAATGGTATGTTTGCCTGATTTGTTTGGCTTTTCCCTACTATTTTCACTAGGTCGGCGATGTTATAGGATTGTCCTATTCCGGGGCAGATTTAGGGGTGGAAGGGGTTCACCAAACCCTTCGCCGGAAAATTACACCGTATATATAACGCAAAATCTGTTATGTGTCTCTATATATTGTATTTTGAATCTCCTTGACACAACTAAAAAGCATAGCTTAATGGTCAAGGGGGTTCAAAAGCTTTGTTAAGTCACTAGTTCAATTCCCTCTAGCCATAATCTCTTCTAATATTATAACTTTTTCTCTTTTGAACCCTCTTATCGGAATTCTTTGAACCCCCTTATGGAAAATTCTGCCTCCGCCACTGGTCCTATTGTGAGTGAGGAACACTTGGATCTTTTGGAAGTGACTCATACTTGAAAGGTTCCAAGAAGAACTGCACATAGTTTTATCTTTTGCAGTCTTAGTGAATATTTGTTACAGTCTCAATGGATTCTGACCTCTGAGTGGATCAAAAATTAGTTGGGTGCATATAACTCATCTTTTGTCATAAGATTGCTAAAGGGCTCCAGAGTCTCTTGAAGTTGTGAGATTACATTACCCTTATTGACAGAGAAGATCCACCATCTAGCAGTAGTACATAATTTGAAAATGAAAATTGTTTATCTTCCAAAAGTTTACCTGACCTGGCATGTAAACTGGTTTGTTCTCACAACCCTTTTATATGTATATGGTAGTGTTTTGAAGCATTCAGTCTTCACCAAATTTTTTATTTTTTCCTTCTGTTATTTTCGGACCACTCTAACAACTAATTCCTATTCATATGCAGCTACGAGGAGTATTTGTGCATTCATAAAATTCTTTTCCATGCAGTAACTTCTTTGAAGCATACTAAATTTGAAATTGATGCCTTTTCTTAAAGCTATATTGAAGGATAAGGATGCATACGACAGACAATTCGCTATAAAAGTATGTCAATTACAACCAATTAGTCCAATGCTGTTCCTACTGCTCTTTCTCTACTATTTAATATATACGTTATTCCTATTTTAAAGAACCAGATGCTAACTAATAATTTTACAGGTATCGACTTTTTGTCAAACATAGCTGTATAGGGTCAAATTTGACCCTCAGCATCTCTACGCCAGTGGGTACGCCCAGTGAGTGTACGCCAACTAACGTAGCAGGTACGACTCGGCCGTGGGACAAAAGCGACATCGTTTAGGACTCAGTGTCTTCACTAGGGAGACGTTACCTGTCTTTGTAACTTTTTTGATTCTTTCGAGGAGGATCTCTTATTATATAAAGGAGACTCTCGCATTGTAAAAAGGGGATCTGATCTAATACAACTCTCTCCATTTTCTGGCTTTCTCTCTCTATCTCTACTTCAAACGAACGTATCTTATTGAGTTCATATTGTTTCTTTGCAATACTAGATCTACTACAATATTGTCATCTTTGCATCTCTAGGATTATTATATTTGATTACGATTTACCCTTTTCCTACTTTAGATTGTTTTTTAGCTTACAAAGTACATTGTTAACTTTTGAGCCAAACAATTTGGCGTCGTCTGTGGGGACTTCGAGAATCAAAACCATAGTATCCACCTAGAGATCAACCAACTACCACTCTCTACACTTCAAAACAAAAAAACAGAAAATGGCCGAAAATAACACAAGATCGAAAGCTATATTGGGTGTCACTACCAATCTCCTTGGCCCTCTCAACGAGGCCAGTGACGATGGCATCCTGAATGCAACCCCTAGCATCACACCGGGTGCAGAGATCTCACCTTCCCCATCCGAAGGTCTGATGATCTTGCACGAAAAAGGAGCTTCCACATCTGCGGTTACGGAAGCACCCTCAGCGGTCAAAGAGCTACTGGAAAGATGGCTAACAAGCGCTCTAAGTGGCTTGGTTGAGAGGTCACCACAAAGTAACATCGGATGTACACCAACGGTAGGTACCACTGCTGCCGTGAGTGAACCGGAAGTTACACTAGCGAATAACAAACCTATCGAGACACAGACCAACGATGGCACGCTAACAGCCATCCTAAAGAAGATGGAAGAAATGGAAAATGAAAACAAGGCGCTCCGCGGTCAGATGAAGGAACATCAGGAGAGGGTCGACAAGATCCCCGGTGCTCCCAAGTTGCTACCAAAACGCGACGTGGGAAGGTTCGTTGAACAACCATACACTGAAGAAGCTGCCTCTCACTCCACCCCAAAAACCTTCAAGATGCCACCCTACTTGAGGGTATATAACGGAACCACAGATCCCGAGGATCATCTGATCCACTACGTCACCGCTGTGAAGGGCAACGACCTATCGAAAGAATAGGTACCGTCGGTACTGCTGAAGAAGTTTGGCGAGACGTTGACAGGAGGGGCCTTAACATGGTACTCTCAGCTACCGGCTAAGGCAATAACAACGTTCGATGAAATGGCGGATAAGTTCGTCACAGCCCATGCAGGCGCGAAGAAAGCGGAGGCCAGGGTCAACGACATCTTCGCCGTCAGGCAAAACTCAGGAGAGGGACTCAGGGACTTCCTGGCAAGGTTTAACAGGGTAAGGATGAGTCTACCAAACGTATCGGAAGGTATGGCAGTCGCCGCTTTCCAGAACGGGCTAAGCAGAGATGGTTCGAGGGCAACCAAGAAGCTGCTGAGCCGCCTCATGAAATTCCCCCTACCATATGGGAGGAAATACACAACGCCTATTGCGCCGAGGTACGAGCGGACGAGGACGATCTTAATGAGCCGACCCAACGGCTAACAGCGATACAGTCAGAAACGAGGAGAGATCGACGGAACGAAGGACGACGAGAACAACTCCCCCGCTCCAACAGAGATCGACATCAGCCATACACCAGATCCTCCCATCCGCCACCAAGGCATACAGACGCGCTACAGCGACACGTCGCCCCACTCCGAAACGAAAGAGGTATGCCCCCTTTATTAACCGCCCATAACTTTTGTGTATCTCCTTCAGAAATAGTGTACGCACTGGAGAAGCTGGGCACCAAGGTGCATTGGCCGCAGAAGATGAAATCAGACTCTGCCACAAGGAAATCAAACGCCCTATGTGAGTTCCATCAGGAACGGGGACACAAAACCGAAGACTGCATAGGCCTACGGCAAGAGGTGGTCAGGATGCTGAACCAGGGATACCCGAGGGAGTTACTCAGTGACAAAGGGAAAATCAACTTTGCACGCGGACGAGAACAACCCCACGGGCCGCCGAAGCCACCTTCCCCAGCGCGCACGATAAACATGATCGTCGGAGGCGGCGACGAGTCAGTGATCAATCACGTCAAGCTCGCCACCACACACAGACTAAAGCGGACCATCGCCCATGAACGGTATGATGACTTCGAAGATAGTATCACCTTCGATAAGTCTGATGCCGACGGTTTGTCTTTCCCTCATTATGATGCTTTAGTTATCACTTTACGTATGGCTGATACGGATGTTAAAAGAGTCATGATCGATGACGGAAGTGGCGCCTGTATTATCCACCCAAGGGTCCTCGTACAAATGGGACTCGAGGATGGGGTAATACCGCGCTGCATAACACTAACCGGTTTTAACAATGCAGTGGAACAGACATCCGGAGAAATAGCACTACCCATCTTAGCGGGAGGAGTCACGCTGGAAACAACTTTCCACGTGATGAACCAAGAAACGGCGTACAACGTCATCATAGGACGCCCGTGGATACACGCCATGCGAGCGGTCCCTTCAAGCCTCTACCAAGTGATCAAATTCCCTACCCCATGGGGAGTATTCAGTATTCGAGGCGAGCCACGCACCGCACAAAAATGCTACAAAATAGCCCAAGACTGCGCCCACACCCAACAACTAAAGGGGGCGAGCGCGGAAGCATAGCAATTAGCCGTGTTGGGGACTAAGGTCAACCCGACAACGGACGCCATCAAAGACCCCGACGTCGTGGAAGCCTGTAAAGCAATGGTCGAAGATCTCGACCCAGTCCAATTGGACGAAACCGATCTTACGAAGAAAGCCTATATCGGGCAAGGTCTCGCCAACCCAAGTAAGTATTGCGAATTCTTAACTAACCATGCAGATTTGTTCGCCTTTTCCCATTCAGATATGCCGGGAATCCCGCGAGACATCGCCACCCACAAGCTGAATGTCGATCCACTACATCCGCCCGTGCGGCAGATGAGGAGAAAATTCAACGCCGCTATCAATGAAGCGGTCAGTAAGGAAGTAGACGAGCTACTGGCCAACGGCTCCATCAGAGAATCAAAGTACCTCGAGTGGGTCGCCAATGTTGTCATGGTCAAAAAGAAAAATGGGAAGTGGAGAATGTGTGTGGATTCACTGACCTGAACAAGGCATGCCCAAAGGATTCATTCCCACTACCCCACATCGACCAACTGATCAACGCCACTGCAGGACATGAACTACTGAGCTTCCTAGACGCCTACTCTGGCTACAATCAAATCATGAGGAGGACCAAGAGAAGACAACTTTCATCACCCACCAAGGGACTTACTGCTACAAGGTAATGCCCTTCGGGCTCAAGAATGCAGGGGCTACGTACCAGAGACTGGTCACCAGAATGTTCAAAGAGCAGCTC